GGACTAGATCCTGTAGGTAAATAAGAAACGGCGACACTGAAGGAAGAAATATTGGAATTCAATATTTCTAAAATTTTCACGAGTTCAAAACCGTTAGCCAAATGATTTACGCATGTCATCATCAGCTGCAGGAAATGGACGAAGCTCTTTATAGATACTCGCTAGATAAAATCTTTGATTGCACCACTCAATAAAAAGACTACTATATCAAGAAAATTATCAAAACCGCCATGGGTCCTAATTTTCAATTTGGCTGACTTGAACTCTATACCGATATGGTCATTCTAATTCCGTGATCTGTACTTTCTTGAGCAATATGAAGATAAAAGAGTTGTATTATGGCTCCTGTACACGTTGGCCAATGCATGTGACCATCGTGTACTTTTAGAAAAGACCATCCGTCATATTGAAGGTATGTGGTGTTGGCTTTGACGCTGGTTTAGATCATTAGTAGCCACGTCCACATGATGACTATATACCTAGACGTGAACGGCAGGAATTGTTGGTTGATACTTTGCCCATTGTATTGATATATGAGAAGAGAGGTGTAGAGTCAAGTAGTACCTATCTGTATAGTGTCATCTTATAGGCCAGTAGGTATTAGAGTAACTATAAGCACTCAGTGATGAGCGAGATTGGTCTTGGTCTTACTTTTTGTAACAAAACCAAACATGCAAGACTCTTGCTGTCTCTCCGATCTGCATTATTTTTTTTACCTCTAGGTGATATAAGAAATTACTTATTTGTTGAAAATTATTGTTTTATTTTTTTACAAACAGTGTTTTCCCGACAGCATAAAATTTTAAATAAAGAAATTCTGATTCAATATAATGTATTGGAAACCAAAAATTTTCGCCAAACAAATTTTCTAATAATATTTTTCTTTAACGTTTTATTTGCATTACTAAAAATACTATTTATTTAAAGATTTTCTATGTAAATATTGTATCTGGTAAAAATATATTTAAATAAGGCAAGACATGTCTTGCTGCAAGGTCTTGGCCAAGGCTGGATCTTGCAAGACCAAGAAGACCGAAACTCATTGATCTTACATTTGTTCATAACTATGCACTAAAGAAATAAATCATTACCGAGCTTCAATAATAATTCAAGCTTTCAAAAACTTTTTTTAATTATGAAAGCGAATTTGTTCATTTCTTACTGAATTTTTAGAAAGTTATTACCCTGTCCATAATTTTATAAATTTTGAAGACATGTATAATTCATAGAAGTTAGTATTATACATTTATAAAATAGTTTCGATTTCAGATATTTTATTGCTGTAATATTGGATTTCCATACAACTCATACATTTCCATACAATCCAAACTATGGCATTAGTTTATAAAACATATAGTTTTGTTTATAAAACAACAACCATGTTTTCATTTTCAAAAACAAACTCGAAACTCAAATTCCAGCAAACGAACTAAAACCGCGTCTTTTAAAAATGTTACCTGTAGCTTCTAATAGGCAAACAGTTTTCCCTTCACGACTTATTTATTACGGTATATGGATTTTTTATACTTTTAGTGCAAAGAATTCAACGTAAAAATGGAAATGCCCTTATCAAACCTCACTGAATAGTTGAGTGCCGTTCCGAATTCCCACCAAACGAAATATGTTTACAAAAACTTCAAAATGTTCCAGATTTCGGTAACTTCAATTATTTTGCTGAAAAAGACAAAATCTCTGTTTTCTTGCAATATTGTCCGTTGGGCGAAGATCCGCTTGAAGACGGTCCATTTAATATATCTGAAGTGTAGAACTCAATACTACTTCTTCAGATATTCAGATCCAATAAAACTTAAGAAATTCTTAGTTTTATTTTTAAGAAGTTGAACGGTGTATTCTTAAAAACGATAAATTTCGAAAAGCACTTCCTGGTCATGACTGATTTAAATAATTATCTTATAAACCTAAAGTTTAATGCATCGTTCCATAATTAATTATGTATATAAATTCAACAAGAATAAATTCACTTTTTCTGAACCCTATCTATGAGAAGATTTTTTATTACAAATGTATTTTTTATATATTAACCAAATTAATAATTGTCTTAAAATCAAAGCTTTATTATGGTTATATGTAGTACCGTATGATCGAAAAAAAAACGGCGTCCTGTTGGCTGAGAAATGACGATCGATGACATTCCCCATATAAATTTACATATAAAATGACAGCGATCTTCATTTCATAGCCATCGCTGACGCCGTTTTTTCTCGATCATACGGCAGGGGCGTAGATAGGTGTATGCTATGGGGGTGGTACTATGATTAAGTCGCAAAAAAAAATCACCATCGGAATTTTGTTGTCGAATTAAAACGACGGCGATTTTTTTGTCTTCAAAAAGATATAAAAACATAACACAAAAATTAAAATATAGATTTGTAAATAACATAAACAAAAATGAAACAACGACGTTTATTAGTTAATTTTCTATAAACTATAAATAAAAAACTCTAAACTATCAAAAAAAACTATAAAAACTATAAACTATAAATAAAACTACAAAACAAAATCAAGTTTTCTAGTACGCTGTGGAAAACCTATCAATAACAGCATCAACATTTATTTCAATATCTTTATGGATATTGATTAGAGTTAACCCCACTAATCTGTCCTGGCCAATAAGAACACTTTGTATGCTTTTAATTAGGTCGAACATATTATAAACGATAAATCAACATAATTAAAAGCATACAAAGTGTTCTTATATGTCGGATATTAATTAAAAAAAATCCTTTCATAGTCAATGACTATTTCAATTCTCGTATCTCGTCAAGCGTCAGGGGGGGGTACTGTCCCCCAGTACCCCCCCTTATCTACGCCCTTGTCATACGGTATATAAGAATAACGGTCTCAGGAGTCTAAGAAAATTCTAAAGAAAATCCAACAATATTAAAAATAAATCATATAAAAATTAAAGATAAAGTAAAAAGCAATGAGCTAAGTGTAGATATTTCATTTCCCTGTCTACTCAATTTTTTTAATAATTTGGATTTCTTCATTACATGCCTCTCTGGAAGTATTTATGTATTAGGTAATTATTAATCCTTAAATACATTAAGAAAAAATATCATTTTTTATTACTAAGCTGTTTCCAATAATGGATAATCTGCCACAAAGATGGAGACATTATTTACTATAGTATACTTAGATATGGGTAAGGTAGGTAACTTTTTTTTAAAAATATAGTCTCATTTTATTATACCTATACCATAAACCAATTATTACAACCGTCGGAAAGTCAAATCAGTTCATACAAAACAGAAGATAATATATTTTCTTCTGTATCTGTCTCTAAATATAAAATCTATAATGGCGTTTTAATTCTCGTTTGTCATTTATATAATGATATAATTGCATTTTATTGTTCACTTTGCAATTTACAGTAAATTTTTGTTTAATTTCGAATAAATATAAAATATTGGTTTAAATTTATTAAATTTTCTTAAATTTGGAGATTAGTAGTGCCTAAGTAGTACTGCCTTAAAAAATAATTGTATTCTTTCTTTAAATCATCAAGGTATCATAAAGGTCTTAAGAATTTTTTATTTGATTTTGAATAAACATAACATTTTGGTGTAAATTTACTAGATTTTCTATAATTTCGAATTTACTAGTACCTAAGCAGTACTGCCTTTTAAAATAATTTTATTCTTTATTTAAATCCTCAAGATATTTTTAAATTATTTATAAAATATCTAGGTATGTAAAGAAAACATTTTGGCAGACATTTTTTTCATATATTTCATGTTGCTAAATTTTTAATAAAGAAATATTTGAATATGTTTTTCTTATAAACGCTAATATATTTTTAAGGGCTTTTTAGTGCTTTTTTAAATCTCTAGGAATATCTACCTATAAAGAATTAAGTGAAAAAAACAACACTAATAGAATCTTGTGGTCAGGAACATAATATGGAAATGTAGAAAAAATACATAAAAAGCTTGGCTAACTATTTCGACTTAGCTGCAACCTTCGCGAAAATAAAGGCTCTAGATAATGATTTATTACGTCAGAAAAATAGTCAGGGTTATTGCAAAGTGGTCTATGCATGGTATATATTCTATGAAAATATGAAAATTAATGTATATTGATCATGTATATTGATCATTTTCTGTATCATACCATAAGGATGAAAAAAAACTTTTAAAAGTTAACGTATGTTATTTATCGCTGCGTAAACTGGTCAAATATATCTTTGAAATTTATACTATAAGCATCATTAACAAGTCACAGTTATATATTTTTTACTATGGTTGCATATATCCACTTCTAACGTTTTACCGGATCTTTGAGAAAGAGAATGCATAAACGGGTATTTTTATATTTTATTTTACAGTGAGATACACAGCAATATCATACTTTGATTTTTTTTTTGTATAAATTCACCACTTTCCACCACCCTTCCCACAACCGAATTTGCAGCAGATCTTGTTTCATTAACAAAAAATAATAGAATTTCGCTATAAAAAATATGTTTTTTTTTTAAGTTTACTGAATACTGCCGATTATATATAGGTATACTAACAGTAGTGTCACTCTGGCTAATTATCAAAGGGAGCCGCGACTTGGCGTTAACTGAGTAAGTATATAACTACTAATCTACAGAATATTGAAGGCATTAGAATGACTCTCTCAATCAATCAAAGTTTAGTGGTTTTGTACAAAACAATCAAATAGTATTCTATAGCAATTTAACATATTTATAGTCCTTTAAGTCCTAAAAGGTAATTATAGAGAAAACCAGAGTTAACGTTTTTTTAATGTTACTTAATTAAATAAAATAAATTGGATAAACCGGCTAGAGCTGCTTGATGCGAGAAGCAAGACTTGATTCATTCCTCTACTTGAAAAAACAATATTCTTTAAACGTATAAAGATGATTATCTTAAAATAGTAGAAAATTGTACTTGATCCAATTTAATTCTGACCACTCCATTTAAAGACAACATAGTTAATTAAAAATGACACTAAATCCAAATTAGACTTACCTTAACCCTCAAAAACCGCCTCACTCTTTATTTGATCGCACAGAAAAAACAGTCCTACCCCGAAACCTCACTGAAAACCCCGTGTTCCTTTTCCCGAGCCTCGCGAAAATAATCGCCAAATCAATTTTTCCGACGGTCGCGCGAACGTCCGACGTCTTCCTTAAAGCCCAACAAATCACTGGCCGGCCATCAGCCACCGTGCCGTCTAGCACGAAATCCCATAAAAGTATTAAAAAGTCTTAAACGCTTAGATATCGGGTTAGGATTTGATGCTGCAAAGTCCCTCTAATCTAGGCCACTTCCCAACGCGATTTAAACATAAGTCGCTTCACTCTATATATCATAGCCGGCCGTGGAACCTTTGCCTTCTCGGTCGGATGCGCCGTCACCTACCCTTTTCGCTCTAACCCTCGCGACTTGAGGTATGTCCCACTCTCTCGCTAATGTCGGAGAGAATCCCGTCGCATGGCAACGCCCCCGCGTGATTTTCAGTGGGCATGCGCGTCAGGGTCTATTTAAAGTATAGTTTCCTCTCATTTTATCACGGTGAGGGTTGCATACGTCGGTCTTTGTCGACTTATTGATGGGGAGGAGCCGTCAAGGCGTTAAGTCAAGGGAGAGAGAGCCGGCAGCCTCGTATCGTATTGATAGAGGATTAGGCTTTAGTTTTGTTTATTTGTTTCGGATAGTTTCTTAATTTTTCGGGTGACGAGAAACTGATTTAAACGATACCATGAGAGAGATCAGGTTGTGCTGGATTGCGGTGTGTGGTCTGATCTGAGGCAGCTGATTGAATTGATTTTTTTGAGATGAGAATCTTGGACCGAGGAGTTATAAATGTCGCAGGCGTATAGAATAATCAGGCTTTTTGCAAAAAAACTAGGCATATTACAAAAAGCCCGCTTTTTAAACAAAAAAAGTAATTTTCACAAAAAGCCTATCTATTTTCAGTCACGTTGCCTAATCACAGCCTAATGAGAATTAGGCATATATTAAACAATGACGATATTTGCTGTACACTTCTGCCAAAAGACCGCCTGTTTTCAGTCATTTTACAAAATGCCAAATCAAGGCCTGCCAGATTAAAATATGAACAAAATTGAGTCAGCTGTGAGCATAATTTTTTTAACGAAAAATAATGAAGATATTAAGTTCATTTTATTTATATTAGTAGATTTATAAAGTTTGCTCTGGTTAAGTGTTATTATTAAATATAAATAAATGAAACATATACAAAGTATTGTTAAATAATGATAAATTGGGGCATAAATATATATTTATTCAAATTATAGTTTGATTTAAGACTCATTTTTAAATTAAATATTAAGGGATTAATTCACTAGAATAAACACACTAAAAAAGGTATTAATTCACTACAAAAAAACGAAATTAAAATGAATAAAACATTGAAATTGTATAATAAGAATAGATTTTAGTTACAATAATTGTTAATTAAGTGTTTCTCTACTCTATAAAACAGCCGATAAACTAAATTAAGTTAAAAAACACCAATAAAAACTTAAAACAAAAATATTATATCATAAATGACTTAATTAATATCACGCGCGAATAATAATTTAGTTAATAATAATTATTAGTAAGTATATACAGTTTTCATAATAGTTTTAATTAAAGTTCTTTAATTAAAAATAGCAGGTTAGTCGTGACTGACTAAGTTAAGAAAAAACTCAAAATTTAAGTGAGGATGCAGTCAATAATCACCACATAGGCTAATAAAACTACTTTTTCAAATTTGTCAAGCTTTCGAGAATTTTATTCCCATCATCAGGACAGTTTGACTGAGTCAATCAGCAAAAAAACATCCTTTGCACAAAAAGGCCTTAAAAACTAGCATCGTATGACATTGGATTTTCAAACCAAACCGAACCAAACACAAACAAAAAGATTTTTTAAAAATTTAATTTTTACATTGTTATTTCGTGCTCGATCAAACAGTGACTCTTCTCGAAAACTTGAGAAATTTGAAAAAGTAGTTTTATTAGCCTATGTGGTGATTATTGACTGCATCCTCACTTAAATTTTGAGTTTGTTCTTTAATTATGTATATTTTTCTTTAATTCTTCATCCACCAATCTATATCGGATGAATGTCATTATAGAATATTATATCCTTTCATATTATTATGTTCATAACTGATCAGTATATGATGTACAGTTTATTATTGAGATAATGAATTTGAAATTTATTGAAAATGACTTTAATAAAGTATGTATATGATTCTTAATGTATAAAATAGATATAACTATATCTATTTTTATTGTACACAAACCATTTTCTTATTCTTATATATCTGCATTTTTATTTATCTCATATTTTATTTTCTTCGTCCAAATATATTATATTATAAATATTATGCTAGGGTAAAACTATGTTATTCTATGATATAAACCAACAACTATAACCTATAAAAGTTAATTTTATTTACATTTAATGCATAATTTTATATATATCAAAAAATATTAAAAAAAGTTGCTATTAGATATGTGACCGTGATATGTCTATCGAAAAGTTAAGACTGTTGACGTGTGTTAATTTTTATTTTAAGTATTTTTGATTAAGGTGGTTATGAACATTTAAAAAATTTACCTAAAATATTATTTAAAAATAGATAATTTTCAAAGAAGTCTAAAATACCTGAGTTTGTATACTTTGAAAATTAAAAAAAAATTTTTGATTAAATTTTTAAACCATCTGATTTTTTTCTGGTTTCTCGTTCCTATAAAATTAATCTATTAGGTACCTATGTTGTCAAATTATCGAGATATTTCTTTTTCGTGAAAATTAAAAAAAAATCGCTATTTTTTTCAAAAATACAAAATCTTCGTGAAAAAAAATTACCTCATAGATGTGTGTTCCTGTGATCGAAATATATCACCCTTAAAAATATGTGCTCTTATTTAAAACTCAGCCGGTATATCTATTTGATTATTTGCGACTGAAAAAAAAATAGTTATTTATGATATATGTGACATAATGTCACATTTTAGGCACTGACAGAATGCGTTAAAAATATATATATTATGGACATATTTTGTGAGAAGGGAATATCCCTTCGAACAAAATAAATCCCTTCGAACAAAATAAAATCACTTTTAGCACACATATCATACACTATTTTTTCTACAAATAAGTTTATGCTCGTTATACCAAGGTGTTATTACTTTTTACGTTAATGAATAATTCATAATATGTCAATCTAAAATCAAATTAATTATGAAGTTTATGGTTGCTAGTGTAATTTTATCGCTTCAGTGTTAAAAGCAAATCACGTGACATACTTTTAGCACCAGTGCTAAAAGTTTTTTTTAACGTTGGATAATCCTTCCAAGACTGTGCTTGGTATAGACACTAACTATACAGTGGTTGTAGTATTTCTGTGGTACAGACTACATATACAGAAAAACAGTACCTACACATAATAAACGTTAATGGATAGTATTATGGAAAAACAGTATTCAAGAGGGCCTAATGGAGAAAGTAAAACACTTTGTAGCTATACAAATTTTTATCCCAACGCTTCTTAAAAATGTACATCGTTAAACAACAAAGACCCCTCATATAACACAGAAGGCTTCTGACAAATTTACTTTTTTTTTAATTTTTCCTAAAAAGATATGGAAAATTGGAAAAGTATTAAACGGGATTAAGAAACTATTTTAGAAAAAGCAAAAATTTTTACAAAGAATGCATTTTTCTCAAAATGTCAATAATAAAAAAATCTTTGATTTCAGATCTTGGGTAGTCCTGCCAAAACTGTACTTGGTATAGACACTAACTACAGTGGTAGTATGTATATAGTACATACCTACTTACAATATGGATACACATACAGTTCATACCAAATAAACTTTTATATAGTCACGTGATTAAACTATAGTCGCTTGATCGGCACAGCGTTGCCTACTTTTATATATTTTCTTTTAATCAAAATATTTTAAGAAAAAAAAATAATTCATTATAAATATATAAACAGTTATTATTTACATCAACAAAACTCACCTCCTTAACAGCACTGAAGGGACACAAAGGGTCATTATTACCGCTTTCCCGTTCAAAATATTCTATTAAAGTTGCAATGAGACTTTTTACGGCTATTAAGCTATCTTGTACACTTCGCACTAAAAGAGGTTCTATAAAGGACAATTTTCGACTGCAAGGTCTGCTAGTAAACATTTTTAAGCTTAATGTATCGCAACACTATTTATTTAAACCAAAAATCATAATACAAAACTAAAGTGTCAAAACGAATGACAATGTCAGGAAATAAATAAATAAATGCGGCAATTTGACATTTTTTACAGCAGAGCTGCCACCTGAATCCCCAGAGCGAAATTTAAATTCCATTTAGTCAGCTCGGCGCCGAATATGTCCATGGTTGGCAACAATGAATTTAAAAATCGCGCCCTCGATTACGTAACTAAAAGTTTAATTGATATCAAATATACCTACTATGTTACAGCACACATAATATGTTACACATTAATGTTAGTAGACATGCTAATATTTAAGGAGGTGGTACTTGTGACTTGTACCAATTCTAAGAAAAACCCTCATATGAATGTATGTTTTAAACATCTTAACTTTTCAGATACAGGGTGGTGAAATTTTCTATTTTTTTTTCAAAATATCTCTTATGTTATATTTGATACACTCCTTTCATTGCATCAAAATGCTTATTTTGATGTAAAAAAAATTGTTTTATTTCTTCATTTCCGAGCCGATGAAGAAATGATTTCGATACAAGTCACCCCATCAGATTTTCAACGATTTGACCCTGATGTAAAGTGACTTTAATTTTTTTAAGCAAAAACTACACGTCGGACGAAAAAAATCAGGAGATAAAAATGTTTAGAAACGAATGGAGATTTTAAAGATAACTTTTATTTTAAGAGAAGTCAGTGGTGTACCACTTTTTTCTCAAAATATTCAATGTAGAACCCGTATAGACGATACTGGTTAAAATAAAATTCTTTGTACCTACACCAAAAAGATATTTTTATCCATAGATGACGTGTATTAAGTTTCATAAAGATATCTATAATAAAATCAGAATTATAATGAAAAATTTTTTTTACAAAATTTTACCATCCTGTATCTCAGAAATTAAGATGTTTAGGACATACATTCACAGGCGCGTAGCAAAGGGCCCTGCGGACACCGCGTGGCGGGGGGGCCCCGGGTAAATTGGGGAATATATTGAACCTCAGTTAAAAAAAAGGGTTCGTAGAGTCAATTTTTTTTTTTGATGAAATAGCACCTGATGAGCCCATTGTTTAGAATCAGGTATGACGCATTTCAAAATATTTATTCAAAATTTGAAATTTTAAACCCACAAACATTGTTAAAATCCCAGGAATCTGATATCTTAGCTAATGCTTAGTCTGTGTTAA